TAAAGCTTTGGATTTCACATACAGTGTCATTTGCCAGTGCACATCCTGCAGATTTCTGAAGAATTACAATAAGCTTATCTGCAAAGGAAGCCGGTCTCGTCTTCTGTAACCAATCTCTCAATACATCTGGAACATATTACACATATTACCAATGGACTATCTCCATCACAGATGCCCCACCACTACAAAGTGTACTGTTAATTAGGTTAAAAGCGGACTTAGTACCTTAACCAAATGGCACCTGACCCAAATTCTAGCATGCAGTATGATCTACTAACCAAAAGCTACGCTTTCATGGGTGAATGAAATTTCAAATTACTGAAACCTCTGATGCTTTAGCCCATGTATCAATTACCAACAGATTTTCTTCATCAATGTCTGGAGACCACATTCAAGATTTCTATAAGACAGAAATAAAGCAGGTAAACTATACTGTATACTGTATGTTGAATACAGAATCTGTGGGAAATAATGCTGCAAATGAAAGCTATCAAATAATGCCAAGACTGTATTTTTAGAAATGTCTTTTTGACTAGTTATCACCTTAGTACCAATTACACTGTAGAGCAGGGGTCCTCACACTATGGCTCGCCCACCGAGGACATTTATCCGACCCGCAGGGTGTTTTTGTCCCGGTTTTTTAACTTCAAAATAAGATGTGCAGTGTGCATAGGAATTTGTTCAGTTTTTACTGAAACTATAGTCCGGCCCTCCAACGGGTCTGAAGGACAGTGAACTGGCCCCGTTTTAAAAAGTTTGAAGACCCCTGCTCTAGAGTATGTGAGAATAACTAGCATTAAATTGAACAGAAATAAAATTCATTTTTCTCTCACTCCATGGGTGAGAGCCCAACTTGCATTTTCAGATCAGCTGTTTCAGCCACATTTAGTGAACCTGTCCACACGTTGTTGAAGTCCAGGATTTTTTGTACCCGAGAGGGGGTTTCCTGGAATACAGACTTTGGGGGCCAGTCCCAGGCCTTCTGGGATGGCTAGTCACCAAGGCATACAATTCCTAACTATTCCAGTTCACAGATGACAGCATGTCTAGTCTGTTCAGCTCTGTGACTTTCAAACTGGAAAATCTTATTAGGGAGTCATTCTAATAGTTTAAAAGTAAAAAACAGCTAATTAGATCTTCTTGACGGTAGTTTTTCCAGAGTATCCCCTTTGGATGCACACGGAGCACTCACCTCAAACTTCCCATCGTTATTTGGTACTGCTGTTGCACTGTGTGCTTCTTTAGCTCCAGGGAGAGTTCTGAGACTAGCTGGCAAGTCAAGGTTAGTTATTCCTAAAGCTTTCGCTGCATTGGCCTTTGCTATTTCTAACAGCTCCATCCGATCTGCAAAATAACAGCAAAAATTTCATCAGTGCCCCAAAAGCCTCAATAAAAATCTGTGCTCAAATTTTATGCACAATTAACATGCCCATTTTTATATACTAGTACATGCATGAAAAAAGTGTCTCTATAACAAGTGCCCTTTAAACGTCAACAACTAAGCTTTATGAACTAGCTATTTCTCTTCAAGCTAGTACTCCTTAATTTCCGGGGCTTTTTTGTTTTGTTTTATGCTAACAGACTTTTTTAACACGCAAGAACTCAAAACCAACAGCCAC